ATTGAATCACTAATATGCACACCATAATTTTGAGTACAGAGATGATTCACACATTTTATTACAGTATCCACTCAATTTAACGGCCTCTTTTATACCGATCTGAAGGTAATAACGACTGGTTTGAGATACCGGTATATGGAGCCTCATATACCAGTCTGGCAGTCGATATTACCGAAGGTCGGTATTGAGTTTGTTTTGGCATCGGCGGTCCCCTCACATGGCAACTGGCCACCGACCTCCAAGGCACTGAGGGAGGGATGGGAGGCATTGAGGGGGAGAGGCAGGGAGAGGGGTGGTGTTGAGGTTGGCAGGGAAAGTGGTGGTGTTGAGGGAGGCAGGGAAAGTGGTGGTGGTGTTGAGGGAGGCAGGGAGAATGGTGGTGGTGTTGAGGGTGGCAGGGAGAGTGGTGGTGTTGAGAGGCAGGGAGAGTGGTGGTGGTGTTGAGGGAGGCAGGGAGAGTGGTGGTGGTGTTGAGGGAGGCAGGGAGTAGTGGTGTTATCTTGAGGGGAGTATGGTGTGGGCAGGCAGGGAGAGTGGTGGTGTTGAGGCAGGGAGGTGATGGTGGTGGTGTTGAGGGAGGCAGGGAGTGGTGTTGAGGCAGGGAGAGTGGTGGTGGTGTTGAGGGAGGCAGGGAGAGTGTGGTGGTGGTGTGTGAGGGAGGCAGGGAGAGGGTGGAGGGTGTTGAGGGAGGCAGGGAGAGTGGTGGTGGTGTTGTTGGGAGGCAGGGAGAGTGGTGGTGGTGTTGAGGGAGGCAGGGAGAGTGGTGGTGGTGTTGAGGGAGGCAGGGAGAGTGGTGGTGGTGTTGAGGGAGGCAGGGAGAGTGGTGATGTGGTGGTGTTGAGGGAGGCAGGGAGAGTGGTGGTGGTGTTGAGGGAGGCAGGGAAAGTGGTGGTGGCGTTGAGGGAGGCAGGGAGAGTGGTGGTGGTGTAGAGGGAGGCAGGGAGAGTGGTGGTGTTGAGGGTGTTGAGGGAGGCAGGGAGAGTGATGTGGTGGTGTTGAGGGAGGCAGGGAGAGTGGTGGTGGTGTTGAGGGAGGCAGGGAGAGTGGTGGTGGTGTTGAGGGAGGCAGGGAGTAGTGGTGTTAAGGCAGGGAGAGTGGTGGTGAGGCAGGGAGAGTGGTGGTGGTGTTGAGGGAGGCAGGGAGAGTGGTGGTGGTGTTGAGGGAGGCAGGGAGAGTGGTGGTGGTGTTGAGGGAGGCAGGGAGAGTGGTGGTGGTGTTGAGGGAGGCAGGGAGAGTGGTGGTGTTGAGGGAGGCAGGGAGAGTGGTGGTGGTGTTGAGGGAGGCAGGGAGAGTGGTGGTGGTGTTGAGGGAGGCAGGGAGAGGGGTGGTGTTGAGGGAGGCAGGGAGAGTGGTGGTGGTGTTGAGGGAGGCAGGGAGAGTGGTGGTGGTGTTGAGGGAGGCAGGGAGAGTGGTGTGTTGGTGTTGAGGGAGGTGGTGGTGGAGGGAGTGGTGAGTGGTGGTGGTGTTGAGGGAGGCAGGGAGAGGTGGTGGTGGTGTTGAGGGAGGCAGGGAGAGTGGTGGTGGTGTTGAGGGAGGCAGGGAGAGTGGTGGTGTTGGTGTTGTGGTGTTGAGGGAGGCAGGGAGAGGTGGTGGTGTTGAGGGAGGCAGGGAGAGGGTGGTGTTGAGGGAGGCAGGGAGAGTGGTGGTGGTGTTGAGGGAGGCAGGGAGGCAGTGTTGAGGGAGTGGGAGAGTGGTGGTGGTGTTGAGGGAGGCAGGGAGAGTGGTGGTGGTGTTGAGGGAGGCAGGGAGAGTGGTGGTGGTGTTGAGGGAGGCAGGGAGGGTGGTGGTGGTGGTGTTGAGGGAGGCAGGGAGAGTGGTGGTGGTGTTGAGGGAGGCAGGGAGAGTGGTGGTGGTGTTGAGGGAGGCAGGGAGAGTGGTGGTGGTGTTGAGGCAGGCAGGGAGAGTGATGGTGGTGTTGAGGGAGGCAGGGAGAGTGGTGGTGGTGTTGAGGGAGGCAGGGAGAGTGGTGGTGGTGTTGAGGGAGGAAGGGAGAGTGGTGGTGTTGGTGTTGAGGGAGGCAGGGAGAGTGGTGGTGGTGTTGAGGGAGGCAGGGAGAGTGGTGGTGGTGTTGAGGGAGGCAGGGTGAGTGGTGGTGGTGTTGAGGGAGGCAGGGAGAGTGGTGGTGGTGTTGAGGGAGGCAGGGAGAGTGGTGGTGGTGTTGAGGGAGGCAGGGAGAGTGGTGGTGGTGTTGAGGAGGCAGGGAGAGTGATGGTGGTGTTGAGGGAGGCAGGGAGAGTGGTGGTGGTGTTGAGGGAGGCAGGGTGGTGGTGGTGTTGAGGGAGGCAGGGAGAGTGGTGGTGGTGTTGAGGGAGGCAGGGAGAGTGGTGGTGGTGTTGAGGGAGGCAGGGAGAGTGGTGGTGGTGTTGAGGGAGGCAGGGAGAGTGGTGGTGGTGTTGAGGGAGGCAGGGAGAGTGGTGGTGGTGTTGAGGAGGCAGGGAGAGTGATGGTGGTGTTGAGGGAGGCAGGGAGAGTGGTGGTGGTGTTGAGGAGGCAGGGAGAGTGATGGTGATGTTGAGGGAGGCAGGGAGAGTGGTGGTGGTGTTGAGGGAGGCAGGGAGAGTGGTGGTGGTAAGGAAGGCGGAGGGCAGAATTGCTGACCAAGGCGATGTTGCCAAACCTCTCACCATACTGAATTAAAATTTTTAATCTTAGTTGTAAAATATTTATGCCAAAATATGTTAATTTTCGTATATTACTTTACATTATTAATCATTAACATGTTTTATAGTTTCCTATTTATTAATTAAACAAATATAGTTTTATTTATAAATTATGCACAGATGGCATCTGCGAACAGACGCTGACAGATTTCCAGGTAGCCTAACCTCGACCCCGTTATAGTAGCTCCCTCAACCCCGTTAGTAGCTCCTTCCTCCATGGCCTGCTGTTCTTATGTTATGAGGAAGGCAGTGAGGGAGGAATGGAAGACATTAAGGGAGGAATGGAAGACATTGAGGGAGGAATGGAAGACATTGAGGAAGGGATGGAAGACATTGATGAAGGGATGGAAGACATTGAGGGAGAGGATGGAAGACATTGAAGGAGGGATGGAAGACATTGAGGGAGGGGATACCTGGTTGATACCTGGTTGATGGGGTTCTGGGAGTTCTTCTACTCCCCAAGCCCGGCCCGAGGCCAGGATTGACTTGTGAGAGTTTGGTCCACTAGGCTGTTGCTTGGAGCGGCACACAGGCCCACATACCCACCACAGCCCAGTTGGTCCGGCACACCTTGGAGGAATATATCTAGTTTCCTCTTGAAGATGTCCACGGTTGTTCCGGCAATATTTCTTATGCTTGCTGGGAGGACGTTGAACAACCGTGGACCTCTGATGTTTATACAGTGTTCTCTGATTGTGCCTATGGCACCTCTGCTCTTCACTGGTTCTATTCTGCATTTTCTTCCATATCGTTATCGGGATGGAAGACATTGAGGGAGGAATGGAAGACATTGAGGAAGGGATGGAAGACATTGAGGAAGGGATGGAAGACATTGAGGGAGGGATGGAAGACAGTGAGGGAGGAATGGAAGACATTGAGGAAGGGATAGAAGACATTGAGGAAGGGATGGAAGACATTGAGGGAGGAATGGAAGACATTGAGGAAGGGATGGAAGACATTGAGGGAGGGGATAGAAGACATTGAGGAAGGAATGGAAGACATTGAGGGAGGGGATAGAAGACATTTGGAGGGAGGGAGGTATTTGATTAATATGGTTCACTTGTTGTGTGGTCCACCTGTCTACTTGTGTGATCCAACTTGTCATGTGAAGGAATTATTAATTGTAACCTGTGATAGAATGGGAACTAAAACATTAACTAATTTGGAACGCAATTACACAATGAACTTTATTTAATTTTAGTTATACAGTATAAAGTATATCCGAACCTGAATGTTACTTGAAAAATTACTGACATCCTAACTTTGGAAATACCGGAGCTCCGGAAATAACGACCAGGGTACAGCCCCATATAAGCCATTAAATTGAGTGGATACTGTATATAAATGTATCACACTACACACTATCGAATAATATTACCGCAAAAAAAAAAAGAAGAAAAATCAATCAGAGTCATTGAAATAATTAGGTAATTATCTCTTTGTGGCCTCTCCTGTCTGACAGCTGGGGCTGAGCAGACCGCCTCGGATGCACGCTGAGTCAGCGCCTCTTTTTTGCCAGACTTCCCCGCCCTATAGCGGGCAAAATATTACACTTACGATTTTTTTTATTAATTTTTTCCATGATCAGAGAACACAAATTAACAGGTTTAGATTTTTTTGTTGTTATGCGCCTGTGGGTGACAATGGCCAAATAGCCCTTAGCAACACAAGGGTTAAACATACTCCTAATACATAAGAAATATTGCCAGAACAAATGTGGACACCTTCAAGAAAAAACGAGATAGATTTTTCAAGAAGTGCCGGACCAACTGGGCTGTAGTGGATATGTGGGCCTGGAGGCCACTTCAAGCACCAGCCTGTTGGATCAAACTCTCACAAATCAAGCCTGGTTCTAGGACGGACTTTGGGAGTAGACGAACTCGCAGAACCCCATCCAGGTCCAATCCAGGTAGCCTTATATTCCTCTTACCTTTAAATTCATTAATACACACTTTTTTTCAGTCAATCATCCTCCATTTGTTCAACATAACCAAAGCATCTTAGTTTGCTCTTCATAATCCAATGATTTATAACTTTTGAACTCCACCTCTCTTCATGGCACTTCTGTTTCTTAATTTATCTATTTTCCTAACACCCAACATACTGTTCAATTTGCTCATTTCTACAGCCCTATTCAATGATTTTTCACATCCATACTACACCATGACCCTGCCATCCATACACATGGGTCAAAACTAGTACTCCTACATGCAGTCCTCTAACTGCTGATAGAAGCACCCTTTTCAATATACAAATCTTGATTCATCCCCACTTGTCAATACTGCATAAAGCTACAGTTAATCAGATTCAACAATTTTCTTAATTCTCCTAAATATTTACCTTGAGGTTATCATCCACTTCAACATCTATATCATAGCAAGAAGTTTTCTTTTGATCTGCCCCCTCAACAGAGATAGTATGATTGATGATAATAGGATCTGGAGGAAACAGTAGCTGGTTCAGTCGTCCAGGAATTTCAGCAAACTTCATGCGAGGGACACCAAAGATCTGAAAGGCATTAACACAAATATAACCTAGATACTTTACTAATGGAAGGTTATAAATATAAGAAAATAATGAACAATATTATAGAAGCTACCATTTTATACAGCAGCAGGTAACAAAATTTAAACACATAAATACTTGTAATTACCTAAGTATAGTAGACAAAATAGGCACAGTTGCACAAGAATATGTCACACGTCACATATCACTAAGGAGAAAAAGAGGCAAACCGGAACGAGAACAGCATTCCCTCTATATGCGACAAAAACTAATTGCAGAACATCTCAAACGCCCAACTCTATCCCAAGAACGACAAAGAAGGCTATGGAGAGAAATAGAAATGATTGGGCTTAGGTTGCGAGAATCATACAATGTCCAAGAGAGAGAGAAAGAGCGCAAAAGGCCATAAGTGAAATAGAGACGAATCCAAAATACTTTTTTCTCCTATGCGAAATGTAGAACTAAATTTACATCTTTAAGTGGGGCCCTGTACATGGGTAAGAGAGTCTTCACTAACGACAGCAAAAAATAAGTGAAATACTGAGGCTACAGCAAAGAAATAAGTGAAATACTGAGGCTACAGCAAAGAAATAAGTGAAATACTGAGGCTACAGCAAAGAAATAAGTGAAATACTAAGGCTACAGCAAAAAAATAAGTGAAATACTGAGGTTACAGTATGATTCTGTTTATGGCGAACCACTGAAGACATTGATGATCAATGCTCCAAACGAATTCTTTATGAATGTGATAACACCATCGAACCACATACCAGATGTTACCCTGACCCAACTCGATTTTGAAGTAGCCATAGGCAGCATGCCCATGCACTCTGCACCAGGCCCAGACTCCTGGAATTTTATATTCATCAAGAATTGCAAAAAAAAAAAAACAGCGTTGAATGTAATGAAACGCCATTTTCTGGGTGAAACCTGGAGGCTCCCTAGAGCTATCCAGGCTGATATGAATATCATTAGACTTTGGCATCAGTCAGTGTGGATGGAGTTCTAGGCCTACCGGGACCACGAGCTAGAACCTGGTTCCCTCAGAGAGGCACGAGGGGCATTGGCCTATAGAAATGTACAAGAGATTTGGAGCATTCTATGTCTGCCATCGACAGGGCCAGGCACCTAGAAAAGTAAGTGCCTCAAAACAAACCCCTATTCTGGTTAAAACGACAAAAATAGACAAACAAGTGGGCAGAATTCGCCAAAAGAAAACGAGCAAGCGAGCATGACGTCACACGAGCCGCGCTGTATGTCTGCGCAGCTTCCCCTTCCCCAGGAGGGGAAAGGAGCCCCAGACCCACAATGCCGGAGATCCAACCACCAGTTCGAGGCTGGATGTCAAAACACACGAAAAATCGCTGACCAGGGGAAGGGGGGTTGCCGGGGAGCCACTGGGTGTAGCCCAGAAAATGGCGTTTCATTACACTTAACGCTGGTTTTCTGGGAGAAGCCCCCTTCTCACCCCAGAAAACACTGGTTTTTCTCAGGGGGGGCCCCTTCTTTGGTGATGTAGCTCCTCAGAGCTACATCACCAAAGACAAAAACTAGAAGGACTTACCCGGGAGGCGGTCGATGCTTGCACCACAACTCAAAGTTGAGACAAGGGCTGCAACTGCCGACCCAAAGCGACACAGGCCCGACAAGGACCAGGAACATTTACAAGGTAGCTTGAAGCCAGGACCCTGTTCAACCGCTAAAAACCCCATGCCCGAATGTCAGCCCAAGACATGTTACTGAAGATGGCAGCAAGTGCAGCAAACTTGCGAATGTCATGGGCACAGGGATAGACCTCAGGCTGGTTGAACCAAATAACCCTGAGGACAACCTAAAAGACCCAAACCCGGGAACAGGGAAGAACGGAAACCGGATCAACCCAAAGTGCGTCCCCGGCCACCGAGGCCCGTGGCACGCAAATAACGGGGGAAGAGTCGCAACTGTAGTAACCCACCGGGGAGCCGGTGGCTGAGCGGACAGCACGCTGGACACGTGATCCTGTGGCCCCGGGTTCGATCCCGGGCGCCGGCGAGAAACGCTGGGCAGAGTTTCTTTCACCCTATGCCCCTGTTACCCTAGCAGTAAATAGGTACCTGGGAGTTAGTAGTTGTCATGGGCTGCTTCCTGGGGTGTATGTGTGTGGTGTGGAAAAAAAATAGTAGTAATAGTAGTAGTAATAGAAACAGTTGATTACAGTTGAGAGGCGGGCCAAAAGAGCAGAACTCAACTCCCGCAAGCACAACTAGATGAATAAAGTTAGGATGGAATGTTAGCTAGAGACTCACTACAATACTAAACATATGATGAGTGGAAGTACATGTAGTATTCAGACTGTGATCACACATTGAGGTAAGGTCAAGGGATTAAGACCACAGCTGCTTGCCCAACAATGATTCCTGTGAAGAGGACAAAAGGTGACCTCAGGCTTCTAGGAACAAGGTGACCGACGGTTAATCGGATTATACCTTTCTTGAGAGGCGGGGTGAAATGTCTGAGGCTATGGCTGGCTGTAGGCATTCTGGTTGTAGGAGTAGAACTGGCAAGTCCTCCTGATCTCGTCTGTGGAAGCAACGAATTGGAACAGACAACTATGTGGGAGCCTGATGTGATCATGTTGGCCAAGTCCAGTCTGCAGTATGTGAGTATTGAATGTAAGACTAACTGTGGGAGTAATGTTGTGGTAATCATTCAGTATTTAGGGACTTAGGCGAAAGTTACAAGTGTAGGTGGTGACCGGGGAGGTCAAGTGGATTATGGGTATTGGAAGTTGATTTAACCAGATAGAGTATGTTAATATGTTATTCCTTATCAGAGTCTCGTTTATGTTATTAATTGGGAAAACCTGACAGCCTTTAACACTTCCGCTCGGTAACGAGCGGAAGTGTTAAAGGCTGAGATCGTTCGAGATCTCGTTCGAGATCGTCCTGAGATCTTTAAAGGCTGAGATCGAGATCGTTCTTTTACTCGGGGGTAGTCCGGTAACGACGCAGCATTGGGTCGTTTCCGGCGGCAAATTGGCGGCGGCTTCGGGAGAGGCACGCCGAGGTTTTGGACATTATATGCATATACACCTGTAGGGAATTTCATTGCAAATATATTGATACCAAAATGAAAGACCTAGGACCAGAAGTGGGGTAATAAAGTTGAAAAGAGTATACCCATTTTATTGCTCTTTATTAGCGCTCACTGCGGTACCGCACCGTCACGTTCTCTGTTTACTATGGGTGGGCCGCCGGGCTTTTGGATTTTATGTTTGCATATACTCCTGTAGGGAATTCTATTGCGAACACAATGACACAAAAATGAAAGATCAAAGACGAGAATTGAGATATCCAAAGTGAAGATAGTGTACACATTTTATTGCTCTTGCGCGCTCCCGGGTAACACGCTCTCACTTTCTCACTTGGTTTTTGGCTTTATATGCATTTAGTCCTGTAGAGTTCTATTGCGAACACATTGATACCAAATTGAAAAACCTAGTACGAGAATTGAGATGACAAAGTCAAAGAGAGTATACACATTTCGGTATGAAAGCGCGCTCTATGCCAATGAGAGGCACCTTGGGGTGGTGCAGCGCTCTATTGCAATGAGAGGCACCTTGGGGTGGTGCAGCGCTCTCTTTCTGGTAACTTTCATCTTGTCGGCGGGTGGAGTGCGCCGCTGTTTTTGACATTATATGCATATACTCCTGTTGGGAATTCTATTGCGAGCACACTGATGCCAAAATGAAAGACCTAGGACAAGAATTGAGGTGACCAAAGTGAAAGGAGTGTACACATTTTATCGGTCTTGCACGCTCCCGGGTAACACGCTCTCACTTTCTCTATTTGTTGCGGATGGTACACTGGGCATTTGGACTTAATATGCCTTAAGTCCTGTAGAGAATTCTATTGCGAACACAATGATACCAAATTGAAAAACCTAGGACGAGAATTGAGGTAACAAAGTTGAAAAGATTATACACTTTTCAGAATTACCGCACGCTCCCACAGAATGCCCAAACCTACCCAGGGTAGTGCGGTGCATGCGCGCTCAGAGCATCAGTGTTAATTACCTTCCTTATGTCCTCTCATTGTGTTCCTGTACAAACCTAGTGGTACGCCTCAAGGGTTGACAGGGGTTCTAGGAGTTCTTCTACTCCCCAAGCTCGACCTGAGGTCAGGCTTGACTTGTGAGAGTTTGGTCTACTAGGCTGTTGCTTGGAGCGGCCCGCAGGCCCACATATCCACCACAGCCCAGTTGGTCCAGCACTCCTTGGAGGAAACAATCTAGTTTCTCTTGAAGATGTCCATGGTTGTTCCAGCAATATTTCTTATGCTCGTAGAGGGTGTGGTGTGGAAAAGTACACGGCGATAGTAACAGTTTCACCGTGTACTTACTAACGGTGATAGTAAGTGTTATGTGTTGTGTAATCCATGTGTTCGGAATGAACCGAGGTTCAGCGTAACGACACAACCGGACACAACACATGTTGCACCCCCGGCCTGAACAACCAAGCATCAACAACCTAAGGGCCACTCCGGAAAGCAGCAGTCTCATTCTTCACCAGAAAAGAAGGAGATGGCTGCAAATGAACAAACCTACTATCACCACGACCAAAAGAGCAGAAGCCCCCGCGCCGAAGAGCATGAAGCTCCCCGACCCGATCTCCAGAGGCCAATGCCAACAAGAAAAGAGCTTTAGAAAAATAATCCTGAACCGAAGGGGCCCACAACAAAACGAGAAGACAAATACAAAAGCACCGTGTCCAAACACCAGGACAGCTCAGGCAACACATGAGCAGGCCAAGAGTAAAACAACATCCGAGACTGCTTGTGAAACAGTGCAGAAGTAACATCTATACCGAAAGCAAGCTGCAGCAGGTTCGCTAACGCCACACGATACGATATGAGGCGATAGTATTCAGCATCAGATGATGGTCTTGAGACCGCCACGAGAGAAAGGACAAAACAACCTTAACCGAAAGTGAAGTACAAAAAATGGAAGGACTGCTAGGAAACTGC